TTTGTAGTCTACAGCTCCCTCCACCTGGGAACTGAATTCATTGGCACTGAGAACGTGATCGAACTGGTTAAATTATGAACAAAACTCATACACTCCAACGCACCTTGAATTCATCATTGAGCACGATCACACGTCGAATAATTTCTTTTGGTCTGTGGCGATTGTGTTTGTACGGATCGTTCTGGTAGTACAACTCGAACAAAACCATCCCAAGAGCGTAGATATCTGCCATTTGCATCGATCCGATTGGGTCGCGAACTTCGGGCAACTGAACTGCATTCTGTTTGTGAGTAAAGAACTTTCGTGGAGCCATGGAAGGCTCCAGAAGAGACGTAGAATTTCTGAATGGACTGCTAGGATTTTTGGAAAATCTTGGAATGAATCCAAGAGGCCTCCTCCTGCATCCATGTGAGTTACATTGCTTATAGAACCAATCAATTCCGTGTATGACCCTACGCCGACGGCGATGTCTCTGATCAGGTGATTTGTGATGAACCTACAGGGGGGGGGGTATAATGACACGTTTTCGTTCAAAAGTATCACACAGACTAGATAAAAAACGCCTATGGAAGGAATCACACTACTGACGGGAGTTATAAAACGTTAATCTGTTTTCAAAGGTGCGCAGTGAGAAATTGCTACAAACTCGGCAGGCGTATTTGTAACAAACAGATCTTTTCTCAACTTTTAGTTTGGCATCCATAAGTTCAAACCAATGATCAGTGCACGCCAATTTGATATTTACGGGAAGCTCAGGGGAATTTCAGGTGATATTCAGCGGAGTTTACCCCTTTAAAAAAATCAAATTAGTGTACAGATGAGAGTAGTCAACGAATTCCGTCCAATCAGGGTTCAATTAACACAAAGTGTCTGAGACGTGACGTGATGAGACCGAAGTGCAAGCTTAAAACAGGTGATGGGTCTTCAAGGAGTTTTCAGCAATCTTGTGAGCAGTGCCTTCATAGCTGACTAAATACAAGGTGAGTTAGCGTCAGCAGATAAACTTCAGTCGAACAGAGGGCACTCGGCAAATCCTTGGTTTCATTATCCGTGTTGGTTGGTCGATTTGTTTGGTTTTCCTTGTCCAAGTTTAAGGGTCAAAGTTTTAACGGTCATGGAATGGTGTGGATATATATCTACTGATCCACTGTTGCAGTTTTTCGCAAATTACTTTCTATCCGGCGCAGACAACTTTGTGGTATCATCTTCCAGATACAAGTGTCTCCTTCCGCAGCTCTCTCAGGCAGGCGATTGTGGGCAGGTTGTAGAGTTTCCATTGGTTTTGCGTACATCTAATTTCATATTTCTTGTGGGGATCAGTTTAGAAGTACCAGCCAATTATGTGCTCACATCGATGTTCTCTTTCGGGTTGCTCAGCCAAACTAACATGGGTGTTCTAAAGCAGGATGAGTTATCAATGCCAACCTGGATATGTTTTTGTGAGTTGGAAAACATTTCAGTGTTAGTTACCTGGATGATTGATTTCTAAACGAATAAGACAAATTCATGCGCGTCTGTTAGGCGACAAACTTGCATACATCCTTTGAAACTGAAAAACCGCTATCAAGTGGCAGTTATGGAACCAAATTTCATCTCGCGTTTTACCAACAATTATGAACAGTTATGAACCTAAACCTCGTCAGACTAAAAATCACGCGTACATCATTCAGCTGTAACAACCTTTCGGTGCCTAGGTGCCATATCACCCGAAAGAATCACGAGGGCTGGGATACTGCCAGGTTGCTCAAGCCTAGACGGGTAAAGTCAAGAGGCAGAGGTCGGGTTTGAACCACGGACCTAGCCGTCAGTGAATTTGTGCCCCAACCACTGAGCCATTTCACACCCGACATCAATCGTTCCGACCCTGTATATACCCCATCTCATTAATGACCCTAACCTGACAGGTACTATTCAACCTTACACTGAAGATAGTCGTTTGGAAACTGGGCGCACAGAATGGCTGAACGTGACATCGACTGGATGGCCACGTGACAGATAAGTTGAGGACCTGCATCAGGCGCGCTGTGATTGGCCAGGAAGCTTATTAGTGGGCAGTAGCTCGGTCACCAGGACTCCTGAATTATCGATGGTTTGCAGAATATGTTCGTAACATCACAAGTTCCCATCTGCACGCGTGAGACTGACTGTCACCCTCACTCTGTATCCTTAAAATTTGGAGGTCGTTGTCGCCTGGGTTGTAAGCGGTTAAAAACACACATTAAGAAGAATCGGCTGATAAAAAACAACAACCAAAGTATCCACGTACCTTGCTCCGTCTGTGAAAAAGCATATGAAGGTCTGTGTGACTTCCGGGGCTCACTTGTTCGCATGGATCTCCTTGCTTCCGGTAGTGGTTTACCGACTGATCAACAAAACTTGCACCCTCTGGATGAATCAGTATTGTCGAAAGCTTGGGTCTTCTCTCCACGATTGAAGCACTACAATCGTTCTTTGATGGCTTAATTGGCTGCCTTTTTGTCCGGCGATCCTTCCATTCCGCAAGTGCTGATAACTCTGAGTGGCAGTTTTGGTTGAACACGTTAATCAGGCCTGAATCACTTTCAGTTCTTCCAATATATGGTAGATAACTGTTCACTTGGCTGAATCTTCTTTGTTCATGAGTTTCCATGGTACTCTTGTGATCCGTTTGGAGATGGAGATCAGATTGACTGAGGTACTTTCGTCGAGCCAGTCTACTTGACAGTATATAGCGTCTGGATTCGCTGGATACAGCAGTCAGGTCAGATTCCTTTTGTCCACAAGTGATTAGTTCTTTGTCCTTTGAGGTAAACCCTGTCTGGATCTGGAAGTTTCTATTGTTAGTTCCATGGCCAACTGGATTTGCTCCGGTACCCAGGAAAGTAGAACTTTCCGAATTCCTCGCGTTCTCCACTGCTTCAGACTCACTAGCAGTGGTTCTTCTAGAGTGGTTCAGAGTAAATGTGATTCCTTGTGCTACGAGCTGTTCGGTGAGCAAAGCCAGTTGAGGATGAGAAAAGGCGCATAGCTGACCACTGACCAACAAAGCCAACATGCGTCTCAACAACTCTGGTGACGTCCAGATAAGCCGAGAAAAGTAAGCATTGTCGTCCAAATGAGCAAAACTCTCACCTAAAAAAGGGTACGTACAAAGGAAGAAAAATCTCATGCATGTGGGCGAAATTGGTCGTTTTTTAAATACGTATGACCGACCCCCTTCAACCATTGCGGAATAGGGTGTCAGTAACCTACTGAGGATTGTCTCTCTAAGAGAGGATGAAGAACTGTATTGTGGCCAGTGAAGAGGGCTCTTTTGAGGGTCCTAGCACAGTAGTCTGTTTCTCAAAGATTACTTGGCTGTCCAACAACAATGAGTCAGTCTCATTCCTTTCCACCCACCACTTCATTTTCATATGGTTTGGCCAAGAGAATCGTGCAAAGACGGGAATTCGGATAGTTTGTGCAGCTAAGTTATATGTTTGCCTTGTGAAGGCAAGCGTAGCTCTTTATCTTTCTGGATGTACAAACTACATTCGAGTCATTCAAAATCAACGGCCGTCGCACGGTACAAACATGCGATCTTGACGTGACTACGTAGCAACCGGATGTAGTCTTGCGGATCACCGTTATTTTCTAACTGAACTAAATGGACATTCTAGGTTCTTTGTCAGTCCATCAATGCAACCATTCAGCTAGAAGTACTCCCTAACGAATGATCACACCTGAGGTGATCGTGGGCTGTTGAAGAGTTTTCAGCCACCCTGTGAGTAGTTTCCTTTATGGTCTTATAGTTATTACGCATTCTCCTGCCATCAAATACACTCTAAATTTTACTGTCATTAGTTACGATTTGATCGTTACTCATCCAGGAAGTCATATTTCTCTCTTAAATTTGAAATATTTCTGTTTTGGAAAAACCTAGATATTTTGGAGAAAAAACGTGCTAACTATATAAGTACTTTTCACAATATACTATTGTTGGGATGGTGCCACCTTTTTGGAATTCCAGGTAATCCAAGTCTATTGAGATCAGATTAGAATCTTCGCTCTGTATTCATTTGGTGCAGTCAAAAATGGTCTGTCGGATAGACCCAGAGCGACAGTAACAGTTAGCGGTGGGTGGCTACGAACGAACCAGTCACGTCGCTCAAGTTAACCTTTTTAGATGTGACAATTCAGCAGTACCCAGTTCGCACTGACGGAGTTGAAGTCCCCGCCAGGTCATGGACAAACACTGCTGATTAGCCCTTATATGGGCGAAAATCCAGTCCATAGCTTCAAAAGAATAACTGCGCCAGTGCGGGGGGCTGCTCGGATGGGATTGGTATGAATATAACGTTAAGATAGGCGTAACACTCTCCTCATGAAGTTGCTGAAAACTTGGTGGTTTGACCCTTTGTAACAGAATGTACGAACATGCAGATGAAATGCCATTTAATTCACGCACCTACGCGAAATGCCGTCAGTCCAAAGTCCGTTAGTTTAAGCATCCATCGACTATCGATTAGACAGTTTGTTGACTTCAAATTTCCATGATATTGCAGATCGGATTCGTGCAGGAACGTCAACCCTCGAATCAAATCCAGCGTCAAACTGGTTAAAAAGATCGGCTTTAGTTTGGGACGATCCGGTTGGAAGATATCACGAAGACTTCCTCGAGGCGTATAATCCCAAAGTACGCAGACGTGGTCCTGTTCAACACATGCGCCGACGAAATGGCAAAGATTGCTATGTGATATGTCACGCAGTAGTTTAAGCGACGTTTTCACCTCTCTGTTGATGTGTACCAATCGGATGTTTAAACGGTGCACTGCAACCAGCTTTTTCCTGTACATTCCGCGCACAGTGGAAGGTGTAGTCCATGAACGTATTCCACTGCCAAGTCTAGCCTCTGTGCATTCCGGTGGCAAACCGGTCGGGGTGAATAGCAGTGGATGTCTTTCTTGTTTATTTGGAAGGCCGAAGAACGCACTGCCGGAAGTGTTCCGATGTTCGGCGGATTCCACATGCTTTTCGCTATCCAACTCTTCCACTTGTAGGGAACCAGATGCGACTGAGTGACGATGGGGACTAAAAACATCACCCAGCACATTGTTTGAAAACGTTACCAGGTCTGTTCCAGATAAGTGGGTGACTGTTTCATCTGACGGTAATGTTAACATCCTTCGAGCCCGTCTCCTTTGAGCATTTGACGAGAAAACGGCCATATTTGCGGCATTGATGGCAAGTTGTTGTGAAATTTTATCCAAATCTGCTTGACTTTCTCGGTGGCTGCAGAAAAACCCAGGCCTGTTTGGTGAATTCAGCAACAGGTTTACAAACGGCGAAGGCGGACTGGATTGATCTGAAACGTCCTGTTGGATGAGACAAGGGAAACGAAAGCGTATCATTGGGATTTTTTTACTGGTAAACAAAACCAGGAAACACTGTTTGGTGCAAGTTGTATTGGAGAGTCCAGTGGAATCGTGAAATAAATTATCGGTAAGAATACTGTTTCCGACTCTGTTTAAGGCGTGAACTTACTGACCAGAAGGTCTATGGTTCAAACCCCGACCTCTGTATCCCGACTGCTCCTGTTCAAGCTTGAGCAACCTGGCAGTACCTCGGCCCTTATGCTTCCTTCGTATGGCATGGCAACCAGGCATCGAAATGTTTCCACGGCTGAACCATTGTTAGTACTATCATACATTCCTTTCAAAACAATGTTTGAGCAGCCAAAAAATCTGCCGAACTTTCAGACTGGAACTGAAGTGACTCCGAGCTGAAAATCATAGAGGCAATGTGCAACTCCACGATCCATGTGAGGAATTATCAGAGCGAGGCAGTTTTAGAGCCTCTGAAAGGATTTGAACCTGTGATCTACCGGTTATTGAGTGTACCCTGTACCATTCGGCTGGATGGCTGTCTTACGTCATCCGGAATAAAAGCAAGAAGGGTTGACCAAGTCATGCACTGTTGATCTCACGAAATTTACTCCACATTCCTATAGCACCTGGTGTCAAAATGGAATGTGGACCATGTTGACGTCTTCGATAACTTTAGCAATACTTTTACTGGTGTAAACCTGAGTCTGACTATCATTTCAAAAGGCCTTAAAAGATTTTTCCTGGACTACTGATTACATTACTTACTTACCAGTAATCTGTATGCACTTGACGTGAGTTGTTGGACGTCGACCACTCAGTTTTTCTTGCATAATGCTCTCTCTGACATCATGAAGGTCGTTGATCAGAATGTCATTGCAAATATGTTGATACACCTCAACTACGGCATTTTTCACGTCTTCCAACGAAGATGTTTTCTAGGTATCTAGTAATCTACAGAAGCTATGAAGATGACCGCCAGAGTGCTGCACCAGCATGCTCGCTCAAACAGTTCAATCGAGTCTGCCACCTTGTAATCGGGGCCACCCATTTTCAGGCACCATGAAACGCGACAACTAGATAGCATGATAGTTGGTACCTAGCTTCGGAAACGCGAACCAACCACGCGTCAAGATCCCTTTTACTGACCGCATTTTGAGTGCGTCAGTGCACTTCATTGATGGGCTTGCTGCTGGGCTGGCGAAAGTGGTCACGTGCATGCTGAGGAGGAGCCAATGGGCGCACGGTAGAGCCCGAAAACCATTGGTTAGGTTACCTTCACCGTTGATGGGCTTGCTGCTGGGCTGGCGAAAGCGGTCACGTGCATGCTGAGGAGTAGCCAGTGGGCGCACGGTAGAGCCCGAAAATCATTGGTTAGGTTACCTTCACCAATGGTAATGAATAACCGATCGTTGACGGGTTCATTCGCCAGAAAAGCGTCACCTATATGGGTATGCGGTCGTCTTGCTGGATCGACTATGTTGACGAAGATTCGTGTCCCTCAACGGAAGAATGCGGGTCGCTCAGCCGAGTCAAAACGGAAACTGAAAAGTCTGTTTAACCAACAGACTCACATGTTGGGTAACCATTTAACAGGGACAGTGGACGCGAGGGTTTAAATATCGCCAAAATTAACTAGGCAAATTGAGCAGCGATTAGAAGGAAGACGCGGTATTTGTCGGTTATTTCACATCTGTCTTGCAGACATCGAGGGATTTTGGTGGAGGAATTTCCACACAGCCATTTAGATTTACTCATATCTAACAGAATCGCCTATTTTCTGTCGCCCAGTTGGCCGTTGTGTGCTTAGCGCCACAGCTTTCGTCAACTGGAGGGCGCTTATTGATATGGTTTTCCTAAGAACATATTTTTCACACCGTAAACTGTAAAACCACCAGACTACGTCAGGGTAGGGACAGGAAAGTCAGTCGCAATTTACTGCACCAAAACATCACACCTAGACAACCAGAAAACTATCAAAACAATTGTTGCGGCAGGATAACCGTATCGGCGCCGATTGAGAATTCCCCGGAAATTCTAACAACTCGCGTCCACCCCCATCCTTTACCCACCAATCCCCAACCGTGTGGTCCTTCACATGTCTCTCATTTTCGGTTCTCACTTTCCAATGTTTTGTGCCTGTTTATCCGCGACTGCTCATGTCTACGCCGAAAGTTTGTCACGCCAGCTGTCCCACATGATGTCGCCACAATCTTATTCAGATTCTCCCTAAGCCTGTCTGTCTCGGCACTGATGACATGTCGTCCCTTGGATGTGACCTTCGGCTGCCCTTGTAAAACGACTGTTAGTTGCCTAATGTGCCGATCAGTGAGCTCCTGGTTCGTTTCCCTTGTTCATCGATATTCCCGTCTCCCAAAGGTCTGAAAAGTTAAATCTTGCTGTCCTTACTTGTTTGCGATAGCTGTTTGGACGAACGTAACGTCGAACTTGCGTCCTCAGGCTTTGAATCAGCCACGTTATACAAAGGTGAAAAACCAATGGAAATACCTGGTGCGTAACCCAGGATTGCACTGAGGAAAATGCGGAACACATTCTCCCGTCAAATCTTAACTAAGATTTGAGGTACAAACCTCTCCTACTTGAAGGAATGCCGGAAACTCTTCAACTTCTACTGCAGGCAGTAATATATTGAGTTCGTCACGGACAGGAAGTAGCATGAAATCTCAGGTTAGGTAGCTTTCAAGCTAACTGCCAAGCGCAGCGAACGGTTTCAAACCAGCGGATCAGCTACCAGTAAACGCACCCCACCAACCAACATTTCGCCATACTGTCTCTGCAGCAGACCGATACATAAACTCGCCAGTATCGCTTTTCCGGTAAACCGAATAAGAAAAAATACCCAGGCGTCAATCCGTCAGACTGATTTTATCCATATAAAACACTAGATACGTGGTGTAACACGGTTTTGTAGCCACCCTGTCACTCATAGTTGTCGCTCACTAGATCACGAGGCTTGTCTTTTTTAAATACTCACAAACCACGTCACATTAAGCTGACTCATCGGACATCGATTGTCTGCACAGCCTAGTGAGTGGAGCAACTACTCACGTGCTGACGCGCCCAAGTACACGCAAACGGACCTACATATAAGGGAAACCGAACACAGACAACACAGACTCGCGCGCGCGCAGGGAGCAAGCACTCCAAGTCCACGGACAATGATGGGACACGTGTAGCAGCCAAACTGCGGAGAAAACACATCCCCGCTGTCCAGACTTTCACCAAGGGACTCTCACATACAATAAGTTCCCTTTTGACTTGCTCCATATTTTATATTGCCTTTATTTTATACACGCGGCAAATCGCTTCTGTAAGCTACTGTCAACCACAGTAAAGACTGTTATTAGTTGCATTGTGTTGTGGCCATCATCATCAGTGCACTAATAGTTTAAACTACTGGGTCAGTGTAAATCAAAGGGGTCACGAAAATCCAGCAATGTGCAGTGTGAGGCAGAATCAAATGTTCTGGCATGATGCAGATTGCCGCGAGCTTCTCATGAGGGTGGAATACATGGATACCCAAGTGAAATGACTGAGCAGATGATAGATGGAATAAAATTGGTGACCAGAGTCCAACAAACCAATCGAGACTAATTCCGTTAACCTCAGGAAGCTACTCATCTCGAAGAACAGAACCCGATGAAACATTTAATTTAAAACCAAACTAGTCACTTGAGTCTAAGTCCCTAGTAGACTTGCAGCAGTTCATCTTTCTTGGTGAGTCCGCCTATCCGACTAGTCAATCTATGAAAGGAACGGTTTTGAACGCTACACACCCAAATCTTGATTACAGTATTCGCCACATTACACACTTACTGTTGCCTGTGGTCCTTCGATAGCATCTCCACGTAATCTCAAGGTGCACGATACGTCCTTCTTAAGTCGACCCAACTCTCTCAACGTGTGTGATGTGGCCGAAGGATTTACCAACAGCCAGCGATTCCGGTAACGAGCACGACGAATGCCTGTACCGTGGGCTACCTGCACGCATCATCAAGCACCAGTAGACTGACCGGGGTTTAGCCAATGTTCCAACAGACTCAGTCAAACAACAGTTGCAATGTCTACTTGTCTCGAACAGGAGAACATGATGGAAAAAGGACGAGTACGGGGGGTCAACCTTGTGACTTATCGCTCAGTGAGCGACTGCTCTGCAAACTGAAACAGTGCGAAGGATGATTCACGTCGTGTACATCCATCTGAGACATCTTTCTGCGTTATCCGTGAAGCAATGAGCTGACTGGGATCGGTCCGTGTGTTCTAAACGTGTGTGTGTGTGTGTGTGTGTGAACCTGCCAGTTCTTTTTAACGAGCGCCAATCGTACAAGCGGAACTACTGTTATCGGATGTCACACGAGACTTACTGTACTCTTATAATGTCGAGTGATCTCCAGGAATAGATTGGGTTCCAACTTACAGAGAGAACAATTTCCTGGTATTCAACCTTCCATAAGAGTCGTTCCAGTTCCTTTTCAAATTTACGGCTGCGATACAATAGGAACAATCCAATCAACAGGGAAGCGGCAACCGTACACAGGATGCTTAGGCCAATTCGAAGATAGCGACGTCGAGTTCGGCGACATTTTCGATCATCGAATCCACAAGGTGGTTCACTTAGTGGTGGATGACCGGAGATCCAATGTACTTGCCGACCTAAAATCCAAAATGAAGAGTAGGGTGTAACATACCACCCAGGTGAGTGAACCAACGAATACGGCAAAGTTCGCCTGCCATTGAATCGACTGTAGAAAAATAGCAGTCTGGCAAATAATGAGAAGAGCAAACGAAATATACATGCAGAAAACCTGCGATTATAAAAAAACGGGTTTCTTGGATGATTTGCGAACTGAACGAAGTTCTGCAGCTCTCCGGGGTTGACATAAATTTGCATATTGTAAGCTCAGGGCTTTTTTGAACGACCACCTTCACTCAGTACACAATACGGACGTTCAACTTCCACGATGTCATGGAACAATTTGATTGCACTCTATGTGACCTTAGCTGAAGTTCCTGTAACGCCCATCGCGGAAAAAATCGTTCAGTTGTTGCACCCTTTCGGTGCCTAGCTGCCATGCCACTCGAAGCAAGCACGAGGGCTGGGATACTGCCAAGTTGACTAAAACTAGACAGGGGAAGTCAAGAGACAGACGTCGGGTTCGAACCGTGGACCTTCCGATCAGTCTCGCCTCTATGACCGCGGAACCAACAGGAAAATTTCCAAGTGTTATTTGTATCGAGTTCCCCGATTTCGTCCTGTCACAAGTGACGCGAATTTCTAAGACGGGAACTTTTTCCATCAGCAAGTGCATGCTGTGCCCTAATCCAAGTAATCACACCACAGTGGGAGGTTGTAGGATTGCGTATTGTACAAACAGTCAAGATGCTCTCAGATAACTCACCTTGATGGTCAAGGAGGTTTCTTGACGTCACTCGAAATCGAAGTCATAGTAGCTGCGCAAATCGACCGGCAAAGTTTGATTTTTGCTTGGGATCTTTCGCAAAAACGTGCATTATTCAGCCATGAACTTACCGCGTCGTTTTTACACCTGATAGTTAGATTACCCGTCAGTAGTAGAACACTCACCTAGCACATCAGATGTTCGGAGTTTGTGCCAAAATTTGTGCTCTCAGTTAGATCCAATAAGGGTAAAACAGGAGTTTACTCGTGTGGGGACTAAAAGAGGATCGTTCGAACCAAGTATACTCCAGATGCCTGTGTGGATAGATGGGGGAAAGATTCACTGACGCAGTACCGGAACTCCATTGACTGGTCGATTATTCTTTTCCTCACGGGTGAGTAGCGCTTTCAGCCAGTTGGGAAATTTTTATGGTGGTGTTGAACTACTAATGTCTCAGTGACCATAGGAAGCTCCCCCGTGGTGTGAGATAAATGGCAGTGAAGGCGAAGCAGTGCGGGGGCTGAGGGACAAATGGAATCCGTGCACGTCTGTAAGAGTCTGGCAAAGTCCGACTACCGGTGTTATTTAATCATGTTTGATATCAGCCCTATCCACTAGAGAATGGCACCGTCAATAAGACAAACTGTGAGCGCCTGATACCGAACCCAAGAGAGGAGAGAGAGCAAATTCCAAACAAGAAAGTCCTATCAGCAGTCAAGCAACCCTTGTTCAATAGCTGAGAAGGAAGAACAATTCACGCGAGAAGTAAAGCTTCCAGTTGAGATGTCTTCATTCGAGGCGTCACGTGATCTGAATACCATGGGTGAAGGATGAGCATCGCTATACCAGGCGCGAGCCAATCAAATTGCGCATCAGCCAATTGTGGTCGAACGGTTAAGTTAGCGCTCTTAAAACTCCCTAGGATTTCACGAGATGTGGACTGGTGGTGATTCCCAATGAGGATGACGCAGCTATACGGTGCTTCTCGGCTTTCTAGCATAAATTAGCTGTAATCTCAGTCGGAGGTCACTTGAAACTGGTAACATATGTTTCCAATGAAATGGTGTAGATGCTGGCTAGAATAAGTAACTTAGGCATGGTCCAATCGGACGTCAGCTACTCTTGTACAGAGTAGTGATTGGCGTAGCATTTGTGAAAGAAGTGCCGAAGTACTTATTATGGAATTCGTCAAGCCGTTCTAAGTCACGTTCCGCGCTACACTGTGAGGTACCACATGGCTGTTTACCTTACGAATCCCGATTATGATTCGAGAGCAGGTGCCAGCACCCGAGAGGCCTCGTGGGAATAGGTCTATGGACGACTCGGGTCGTTTGTTGTACCTTTAACAATCGCTACTCGCGTGTACTAAACTGAAACCGGAGAGTGCAAATATGATCTTAACCAAAAACGGACTGAGTGCTTATCACAGTTAGCAGGAGTTTTCAGCACCCAAAAAGTTTCTGGACCCTGAATCTCACCTTGAAACCCCACCTAAGGTTCAACCCAGGCAACCGGGGTTGTGTAAGCCTTACGTGTAACATTTGCCCAATCAGCGTCCAACATGCTGACAGAATCTCCATTCCTATCCATACCTCCGTGTTTTGCCTTCCAACTTTGTCAAAGGAAGCTCAATGCAATGCGCAAAAAACATCAAATAGTGGCATTGTGACAGGTGACTGCAAAAAACACCTAGAAATTGTTGACAACTCAGAGACTGACACTCACCTGGCAATATACGAAATGTGTATCGCTTCGTTTTCTCAGACAGCTGAGCTAGCAGAGGCAGAGTACCGGAGAAATCGTAGGTAATCTTTGTGCCGTTCGTGGTGTCGAATTCCAGATGATTTACTTCAGAGTCCTGGGTCCAGTAAGAGATCTCCCGTTTTCGCACCGCCCCCGTTCTTGTGAGTGACATAGGCCCAGCCGTCGGATAAAACATGCCCACTGGTCTGAATCTGATACGACTCCGGCGACTGTGGGCATTGGAGTTCAAATAGTGACAAAAAGTGGTATCCAGCGAATTGTTTGTCCGGCAGTCCTCTGGTAACAATGGTGTATGATTGTTGTACCATTCCGTCGTTCGGTTCACATCACACAGAAATGTACAGCCCAGCAGATCATCTGGGATATCTGTCTCTTCGGGAATTCCCATGACCACGGTGTAGTTGCCCTTGTGAGAAAATTCGGAATTTGGAATGTATAAGGAATTTTGCGCACTGCGACACCGATAAAGTCTGGAATCTGATGTAGGGAGCAAAACTAAATCCATCTAGGACTTTACCTGTTGGTAGTGTGAGGAGATTTGGGATTTCTGAGATTTCGTCCTGTAAGTAAAGCGAATCTATGCTGAAAAGAGAAGTCGTTGCTCGAGAAGCCAGTTAACACGTGTGACCACGTGATGCGGATCCCGTGATTGAAGGATGAGCGGCGCTATATCCTGTATAAGTACGAGTTAACCACACTGCTGATCATCCCCTCGTGGCCGAATGGTTAAGTTTTCAAAGTATTAGCCAGGAGGTCGCGGTTCGGGGACTCTTCGGAGTTTCGTCAGACGCGCACTGCTGATGATTCCCAATAAGGATGAAATAGCTGTACAGTGATTCGCGGCTTTTCAGCATAGATTCGCTTCACTTACAGGACGAAATCCTCTCAAGAATTTTACTTCCTACGAAAAGATCATTGATTCGTCGATAGCAGCCATTTTGCGTAACACACAAAATGTGAGATTCTCTCATCAGGGGAGTGAGAAGTAATGGTATCTTTCCGGAAAGTCTATTCCTACTGCAAAGAGGATAGTTTCGTTCACATATTCCATCTCCTCGAAGCTACACCTTCGATTGGAGGGGGGCTAGATCACTTCATGTAACACAAAGTTCAAGACCGGACAAAGGTTGGCCTTATGGATGGATGGTCGGAAATCGAAGGTCCTGTTTATAACTGCATTCCAGAAACGGACTAAATTCATGTCTGCTCTGGAAACTATCCAACAAACACATCTAGCCAAAAATCGGTGTAGTTTTATGGTGAATTATCTAGCGTACCCAGCTGAATCATTTAAAGATCAATTCCCTAATTAAGGTTAAACCTGGAGACTTTGCTTACAGGGGAATCTGGCAAATAGTCGCCTTCATAGAGCTAACAGGAAATAGGAACTTGTAAATAGTTCTTACTAGAATAAATTCGATCATATACTGCGAGATGTAAGCGCTAGAATAGTCTGTCTTCGAATAACGGTTAGAAGTGACACATATTCAGTTCAGAGAAGAGACACCTACAGTGGGAGTCGTTAAAGTTTGAAGGCACTGTCATTTAGTTATTTCTTGAACTCATTGTCTTGATAGTCTCGTCAAACGAGAATTTGAACTCGTTTGTCTTTCATTTGATCTCTAATAAGAACGGAACTCAAGTTCGATGGTTCCCTCCATTTGGTGTGGACTAGAACACTAGAACAATTGCGCTAAGACAGGAGAGCGACTCTTCAAACCAGAATCATGTGAGCGTATGTTCTCGAAAATCTTGCAACCGCCAACATCTAGGGCAAAAGGTGTCCGGCTTTTTTTGAAGCGCCTGTGATGCTACCTGACTAGGAAATCCTGACTGGGGGATCGATCGATCGACACAACCAAGGTATATTACTGGATTGTTGTTCGAGGCGTCAGCTTTCCGTTCATATCACTCAGGTACGAACATCAGTTCAGACGTGAAAATCCAGATGCGTCCAGAGTATGCTGGTGGACTATTAGTGTCAGATGTGGCGAGTTCGAACCCCGACACTACCATTGAGTATACAATGCTGTTGGGCTCCGATGAGAACGAAACTCGACTCCAGTGGTTCCCCCTTGGTATAGACTTCTCAGAATGATTACGCCGGCACTGGAGGTCGATCTTCCAAACGAGAGTCTTTTTTTAAAAATCTGTTTAACTGAAGTCAAGCTCTACTTTGGGGACGAAATCGTGTTTTAAATGGTTGTTCGAGGCATCAGGTTTCCGGTCACATCACCCAGGTACTAACCTCTTCTCTTGTTCAGACGTGGGAAGTGTTCAGAGTATGCTGGTGGACTAGTAGTAACGCGCTCACCTCGCATGTCAGATGCTCCGAGTTCCAACCTTGGCACTACCACTGGGTATACAATGCTGGTGAGCTCCGACTCCAGTGGTTCTGGTATAGACTCATTAGAATGATTACGCCGGCACAGGAGGTCGATCGTTCAAACGAGAGTCATTTTTAGAGAAAAAAACGGTTTAACTGAAGGCAAGCTCTACTTTCGGGGCAAAATCATATTTTAAATGGTTGCGTGATCTGTCTGCATAGATGATTAGGTTTTTCCCGAGTTCGTCTCTCAACGCTTTTCTCCTTTTTTTGCGTTCGAAAATGTTTTGCGGTTGTAAGTGGGCACCTAATAAACTCAGAAAAGACCAGCCGTTCGGGGCCTATGCAGAGAAAAGTTATCTATCGTTGTGACAGGCGTTGCGGCAGACAAAGCTAAGGTTGAGGAGTGCATCGCAGCTAGCAAGTTTGGTGGATTTATTATGACACGCTGCGCGGGCTGTTTCGGGTGCCCGGAGAGGTCCTGTATAATCCGGTTTAATGATTCTTTGATGGTGACGTCTTACCATCTGCGATACAGTCACCAAATAAGCAAGTTTTCGTGACAGGCTACCGGTCAACCGACATCAGGCATGCGACGAACTAAAGGAGTGAAGAGCTCTACTCAAGTTCGGGACTCTGTCATCGGAGGCGAGGCAATACATTGGCGATGAACTTCCGGAGGTTCGCACCACTCAAGATGTCTCCATCCGCGGCGTCAAGTTCCCCATTGCTAAGTAGATCTATGTTTAAATTTTCTTTTTAGTTAGGTAGGTGATGGTGGTGGAATCTGAACGTGGTCGCTTTAGCCAACTATGTTCTGCCCGCACGCAACGAATAACTCTGTTTCGACATTTCCCAGAAGTCAACGCTCGAGTCTTTTTGGAGTTTCGTGAGATGGCACTTCT